CCCCCCCCCCCAACCAAGTTTTAAATTTGAGTCTGAAGATCAAGACCTTATAAACATGTTTACTGCTAACTTCTACACACGTTAATCTAATGTCTGTTAACTGCAGTTTTATTAATTTTACACTAAATTCTTATGAATACAGAAACATGTACAGTATGCTTTACAAGACACTCCAAATAATGTTAGAATAATAGTACTATCGTATATTTTACCAAGTTCACAGGTTAGCAACAGTCTGAACGATTCTATACTTTTGTAAAGTAGATGGTTTGACATTTCAAATATAATTATTTAAATTATGCATGTTGGGCTTGCATAAAAACTGACAAATGTAAATTTGAGTTCTGTACATTCAAGATCTTTGGTCTTATTTTAATCATGCAAATGAACAAGAGATCAGATACAGTCAATGAGGCAGATTCTGGAGAAGAAAAACACTGGAATATGGATTCAGCATATTTCACCTTTTTCATAGATTTCAAAGCCTCTTATGACACCATAAACAGGGAGAGGTTACTCGAGGCTATGATGGAGTTTAATATAACCGAGAAGTTAATTGGATTGGTAACAACAACTTTGAAACATGTAAAATATACAGTTAAGGTGCCAAATAATCTATTAGAACCATTTGAAATACCAATGGGCCTAAGGCAGGAAGATGCCTTATCATGTATTTTATACAAAATAGCGTTAAAAACCTATTTAGAGACTTGGGATAGAAACTAAATGAACAATCAAGATACTTGCATATGCAGATCACAATGATTTAGTGGAGAGAACCACAGGTGTGCTGAAAGAAGAAATTATAAACTTCAATAAAGCAGCAAAGGAAACTGGGCTTATAATCAGTATGCAAAAAACTAAACACATGGTCAAAGCAAAATGGCCATCTAATTCAAGAATCTTATTGTTTGCAGCCTGTTGTGTGTCATGATTTGTGATACTCTGGACAGGGCTTCAGAGATAATTCAAGAATGCTTAAAGTGAATAACCAGGAATTTGAAAGGGTGACAGAATTGAAATATCTTGGATCTACTCTAACAGAAGATAATATCACTACTGAAATAAAACAGAGATTTTTGATGAAGATCAAGCTAGTTATAGCCCAAAGAAACAATCAAGTTCACAATATTCTGGGAGACAGACAAAATGTGCTTACATAAGATGCTTGTAAGGCCTATGGGAGTGAAAGCTAGCCTCTAAAAATGTAAGATGAAAGTATGCTCTGAAACTTTGAAAGAAGGATATTAAGAACGATTTATGGCCCAATTAAGGAAAATAGTGCATGGAGCTCAAGGTATGCTATCAGGTGACTGGATTCAGATGAGAAAGTTTTGAAGACAATGGACATTAGAAATTGGAGACAAAATCACAGGATTGGTACCAATGGTGAGCAATTGTAAAAGAGGCCTAGGTTCATCATGGACTATGGCACCTGAAGAAGAGGAGGAGGGGTAGGAGGACAAGGAAGAGGAAGAAGAGGAGAAGGAAGATGAGAAAAGGAATAAGAGGAATAGGAATAACAATAACAACAACAATAATAATAATTATAATGACAGGTACATTTTATTTTTTAAACTTTCAGTTCCAGTCACATTCCAAACATAACAGCAACAATCCAGCAATCTACAAATATAGCACCCTCCTCCCAAGGTATCTTATTCTTGGATCATGTGACAGGATGGCTTTAACTCCTCTAGACACACTGTATCTGTGATGTGGCAGTACACTCAAACCTCAAAACAAAATGTATACAAATTTTCAAACATCTGGTAATTAATGAAGAAAGCAGTCTTCTGGGATGTGGCATTAACCGACGTTTCAGAGGAACATATCGCCTCCATCTTCAGGGTAGAAGGAAAAATAAGAAAATCTGCAAGGAAAGAAACAGTGAGAAGTGATGTAATTTTCTTATTTTTCCTTCTACCCTGAAGATGGAGGCGATACATTCCTCCAAAACGTCGGTTAACACCACATCTATGTGGTGCTGCATCCCAGAAGACTGCTTTCTTCATAGTCACCGCCGTGAAAACATCAAATCTTACATATCTGGTAATTAGGTTATTGAAAATATTGCCATTGTCAGAACTAGCAGTACAGTGTTAGAGCTTAATGCAAAATTCTTTTATGGCTATCAGATGTAATAAAATTCATGCTGGCTGGAAGGTGTACTCCTTAAAACACAGTACAAAAACTGTGTAGTCCAAATAACTTACCATGACACAAGGTTCAAGGTTCATTTAACTCTTTGACTGGCGCGAAGGGTATTTAAATCCCACCCCTGTCCTGGCAGGCCTTTTAAACATTATGTCACTAAGATGCATGTGCTTACTTTTTCCTAAACAACTTCAACAAAAATTGGTTTTTAAAAATGAAATTTTCAGGAACTATTAAAAATACAATATTTTATGCAATAAATGTCTTTCCATACCTTTTTAGTAGTTTTTCTTCGTGTGATAAACATTGAAACATGAAAGTTTGCAAAGAGCCACACCACAGCTTGCACACATGACACTTGTTTCTTTTCTAATCTTATGCTTAGCACACACTCGACACTTTCTCATGGCACCATTCTTCTTATTGTTACTGGGAGGAACATGGACCATTTTGTGAACTTTCAAGCCACCCTCTAGACGATTTTCTGGGTCTTTCACTGGTGGTCTTCTCAAGGTCGCGGGCGGAGGCGTGACTGCACTCGAGTCTGATGCAATAGATTCCTCATCCACTTCATTCCTTGACTGTTCTCCCTCTCCACACTGTTTGTTTTGTTCTGTCATTTTTTCTACACAGTCCAATATAAAATCTTTGAATTTGTAATTTCTCTTCTTGTATTTTTCTGTTGTTGTGTACTTTTTGAATAGAATGAAACTATTCAACGCTGCCATTTGCAACAAGAAAAACACCAGTTTCTTTGTCCACTTTACAGTTTTGCGGGAGCAAGGATAATAATGCAGCATTTGATCGGCCCTGTCAACCCCTCTCATATGTTTATTGTAGTCCCCAATTACCTCGGGTCTGCATATTTTTTCTCCTTTGCGATTCGTTTTTGCAGATTCCACGATTTTTGCTGTGTGAAGAGTGGAGATAAGTTTGACGTCTCTTTTATCTCTCCACACCTGTACGAGAACCTGCCCCTTCCTAGAAAACACAGATTCCCCTTTTTTCAATTTTTTTACATCATTCTTTAGTTCTTTGGGAGCTCCTCTGTCCATTCTGAAGGTTCCACACACATAGGTATTTCTCTGTAATAACGTCTCACATAATTCTACACTATTGTAATAGTTATCCTGGTAGAGATGATACCCTTTATCTAGAAGCTGTGGCCCCAACAGATCGACAACTAATTCTTTTATAGGCCTTGATTTTCCGCAATAAATTTCAAAATTCCAAATATATCCACTTGTCGATTCACAAACAAGATAAGCCTTTATACCGTACTTATCAGGTTTATCAGGCATATATACTCGGAAGATAAGACGTCCTTTCCAAGCGATCATTCCTTCATCTATTGCAATTTCCTTTTCAGGGATATATGTGTTCCTAAATTTTCCCACTAATGAGTCTATAATTGGCCTAACTTTATACAGGCGATCTTCACAGTCAGCTGGTCGTGCATCGTTGTCAGCAAAATGAAGAAATTTTGAAATCTGTTGGAACCGCCGCAAAGACATCTTTTGTCCATACCATGGAGTGTGAAATAGGGGCCTAGTGGACCAATAGTCTTCAATTTCAGGGCGTTTGTCGATTCCTGTCATGAACACAATTCCTAAATATGTCCAGATTTCATCTGATGTGACATATTTGTAATTGAGTTCTCGAGAGTGAGGAGCTAACTCATGTGTGTTGAAGTGCTGGTGAGCATAGCGATTGGTTTCAGTTGTAATGTGAGTTACTAAGTCATCATCCAGAAAAAATTTTATCCATGAAAAGGGGTGCATTTTATGTGTTATATCAATTTTGATCCCGGAACTACTAGTAAATGGAACTATTATTGGTACAATGTCTCCGTACGTCCATGAGATGGGCGTGTCAGGCACCGCACTCGTGGTAGCTAAATGCTCATGATTACTGTCTTGTGGATCATTGTCTATCACTGTACTATTGTCACTATCAACTTCATTCAATTCAGGAATCATTATTTCATCGCCACTATCATCATCAGCACAAATCTCCTTCACAACACTTTCCAGCTGGTCTGTAGGAACATGCCGACACTTGCTGCGAGAAGCCATGGTGAAACTGAATGAATGTGAAATATTTTTTGAACTTTTCCTTCTCGCAGGGTTCTGACAGTAATATAGACCCCCACAAAGTTTACAAGGGTTCTTTACAACCATGCACAAAAACTATCATATATATGTCTTTGGTTGATGAGAGCCAAGAGAACAAATAAGGGAAGAGATTTTCAAAGCGTTAAAACACGCCAACGCCAGGGAATGGCTGGCATCACCCTGGCGATAAAACACGCCCGCGCCAGTCAAAGAGTTAATACATTATGATAACTTATGTACATAAAAAGAATATTTATATTTTGTACTGGTGTGAAACTTGGTTTCTCACTGTATGGGAAGAATAAATATAAAAGTGTTTGAAAATTAAGTGCTGGGGGGAATATCTAGACCAAACAATGAGAAGATAACACAATAATTGAGAATAGTACATTTACCAAGTATTTTTTGGACAAGTAAATCAAGAAGTGTACAGTGTGTTGGATGTGCAGAGAGGAAACACAAACCATACATAAAGTTTTAGTTGGAAAACCTGATGAAATGACCACTTGTAGGATTTGAGGTTCTTACAGTGATGGTTGGCTTCTGTGATAGCCAATCAACATTTTGGAGAAACATGTCACTTCCATCTAGAGGGTCTAAGAATGAGAAAAGCAAGAAACAATCATAAAGCAGGTAGCAGGATTCCTACAAAATGTCGCTTTACTTTCAGCACACTACAAGGTGTTATATCACACACAACAGAACCCTTCAAGAGATCACTCGTCAGACCTAGGTATATGTGAAATGATAATACTGTCACACATTGTGGGCTGTGCGTGACGTATAAGATAGGTTCTGGATTGGACGATTCAATTTATTGACACCTTATACATTTGGAACTTGGGACTACAGGCGATCACAGCAATATCGCTGATCTATACAATTTCCAGTTCACCGTTACATATCTATTAGGATTCTCAGTCTTCACTAGTTGTATCCTAGCAATGGGTTAATCACAGTCTCACTGCAACTTCAAATTACATATGAAGTCCTCTTGTCACAGTCCTTTCTTGCCATTTCTTCTCAATCACCTTAGACTGCCATCTGCAGAACTTGACCTACTTCTTGACGACACCTCACTCAAATGAACTCTTCTTCAACTGAACTCTGTCAACTTCTGACAACTAACTGCTCAAAAGTCAAAGTCACATTACGACTGATGGGCAGTCAGTCAGTAAGTCTCGGTGTCGAGCCCCAGATATATTTATTACCTTTAACAGTTACGGTCTTGTTTCTGTGGGGCACCCTCTCTGACAAGAGGATGGGTCTGCCTTTTGTATGTGTTGCTGGCCCTTGCCAGTGCAGTCTTTCTTGGGTCCCAGTCCCTTGGGGCTCGAGACCATATTTTACTGTCTCAGATTTGAGACTTCCCCTTTTGCTGCCTCCTATGACTCGCAGGGTCACGATGGAGGTATTTGACCCCGCCTCCACATGGGGTACTAACTCTCATTATATATCCTCAGGGCGAACCCCAAAGAAAACACCGTTTTTATTGTCCTGTACTGTTTTAGGTGTGTTTACTGCTCTGCTACCTAGCAATATTACAGTATTTACAACAGCCTATGATTGTAGTTAACTGGCTAAGGATAGTGTCCAGTGATAGGCTATTCTCAACACAGTAATATGTACCATGGCCATGAAGTCTTCATATTAAAAACACTCTTAAAACACGGAGTACAAGAGATACAAAGAAATTGTTTGTGTTGCTTGAAAGACCAACTCTAAAAGTTTCATGGTAGTTGACTGCTGGATGAAAGAAAATGGCATTAGTGCAGAAAAAAGCGATGCGTGTGTTGTGGTACTGGGAGACAAAATCAATGATTCAAGCGCAAAGACCATACTGCTTGGAATGCAGAGAACAAACACCTGAAGGGTAGCCCATCAAGTGAGAGCTGATACAGTTTAAAGAGACAGGCAGTGTCCAGCATACGAAGAGGTTTGACAGGCCTTCAGCAGACACTGATACAGTCATGTAAGTTTATAAGGCTTGACAACAGCTTGGACAGTCATTTTTAGTGATTACTCAACCTTTCACCTGTATCATGTGGTAAAATGACATCATTGCAGAATTTGATTTTCAGAGAATTCACATACAGTTTGTGAGCATGAATTGGATAGCCCCGAACCGAATGTGTGGCACACCCTTTTTGCCATGAGGTGATTGGACCTCTCTTCTTTTAAGAGCAGGTTGTGACAGGTACAAATTATCTGGATATAGGTGAGCTACTTTGTAGTCCTGAGCATAGTATATCTTCAACTAGACATTTTCTTTCAACCAGATGACACTCCTCCACACTAGGGCCTGACAAGTGAGACTGTAACTTTCCCAAATTGATGGGCTGGATGTGATGGACCAATCTCTCGCCTGATATAGCACCACTGGATTTCTTTTCCTGGAGTTACATGAAGGACCCGGTACCCGGTATGAATGTTGGGAACACTGATGAACTTCATGCATGAAACATTAATGCAGTTGCTTCCTGAGACCTCACTTGCTGGAAAATGTGGAGTGAAACTGAGTAACATTTGAATACTCTGCAGGCTACAAATGGTACCCAGGGTACATGAGTGTTCTTGGTTGAGACACTATGCTACAAGCCAGAATGTTATGGGTTCTGTTCCTGATGAGGTCAATGGATTTTTCATTTGACCTAATCCTTCCAGCTGCACCATGCCCCGGGGTCAACTCAGCCTCTAACAGAAATGAGTACAACAAATCTTCCTGGGGGTAAAGGATGACTGGCGCATAAGGCTGACAACCTCACCGCCGTCTGTGAGTCAAATGTTCAAAAATTGTGGGAGCCTCGATATCTCACAGCCCAATGGGTCTCCAAGGCCCATTACAGGGATAATTTTTTTAACAAATGGTACCCAAACTGATGCATAAAAATGTTTTTAATTGTTCTTTCAAGCAATGCAAACCATTTCTCAAAGTCTCTTGTACTTCGCGGTTTAGGGATCCTTGTAACGTGCTGAAGTCTTATGGCCTCCCTGTACATTCAGGAAAACAGCTGAGACTTCCCAGCCAGGTAAACAACCTTCAACGTCATAATAAGAACTTTACATAATAGACTTTGTTAACATGAAATTAACATTCCTGCATTTCTTTCACAGTTTGATAAATTTAACTTCTCCAAATTTTTTAGGATCTTCAGAATGATCAATTCAAGGGGCATGGGGAGGCATGAAGCACATGTGAGAGAGAAGAGGAATGCATACAGGATTATAGTGGGAAAGTCAGAAGAATAGAAACCACTAGGAACACACCAACAAAGGTGGGATGATAATATCAAAATGGATCTTAAGAGATATAGGATGGGATGGGATGGTATGGACTGGATTCATTTGGCTTAGGACAGGAATCAGTGGCAGGCTCCTGTGAACACAGTAATGAACCATCAGGTTCCATAAAATGTTTGGAAATTCTCAAGTAACTAAATAACTGTTTTCAAAAAGGACTTTACTTCATGAAATTAGAATCCTTGTTTACAAAAACAGAATTAAGCTTACAACTTACAGTTTGATTCCACAGTGTTATGAAGCATAATGCATTGTAGTGTCTTCTTACCTGCCTCCTGCTCTTCCAGGCAGACGAAAGGAAAGATTATATGTAGTTTTCACAAAACTTTGAGGTTTCTTCCATGAGCAAGTTAAATTATGCCAGTTTCTTGAGATGCAAGAAAGATTCTGAACTTCTTGTGGTTTGCCTAAAATAGTAAATTAACTGATTTTAGGAATTACGACCTTGGTGATCACATTGCCATGATCAGTGATTGCAAACTGCAGCATGTAGCGGTAGCATAGATGATGGTAGGTACATGTACGCCTCATGCCAAACATCACGACCAATAATACTAAGCATGCAGGCTCCCCAAAATGTTTTTAAGACTGATATCAAAATTCGCATTTTTAGACTTTATGACAAGTAAATTTATTTTATGATGTCTAATCTAAGCTTCAAAATAAGGCTGTATTGTTTAAAAAGACATGTTAAGTCCACTTTATAAGTTCCTTGAACATATTTTTGGTAGCGCTTCTACAATTAGGACTTTCACTAATTTTAACATGGGGTTGCTCCCAATTAGTTCAAATTAGTGAGATCTAACTGCATCTAGAAAATTCACTGCCATGCCACACATATCTCACTGACATTACTGTGGTGAATGTCAATTTTGTAAATATAATTCGTGCCAAGATACCTATTTAAGTAATTAAAAATGGTTTTAACAAAATTAAAACAGCACAACCAGCAACAATAACTTTTGTTCTGACATAATACTCTTAGTTGAATCAGCATATCTTTCTCACAACATTACAGTTTGTCTCATTACAAACACCCCTGCACTGGGGTTTATTTTGTTTCTATCCCTAGAGATTGAACTTTACATAACTGATCCATAAAACTAAAAATAACTATAATTCAAATAATTCTAATGATTCTCTGTATTCCTATCCCTTAAAATCTATGTATCTTCTAAATCATACTCACTATCAACAACAACTCTGTTAAGACAGACAGCCATGTACATATCCTTTGCAGGTTTATCCTTCATCTTCAGTTTACAGTAATACATGCTGGAAGAAATTGGTGGCTTTTCTACATATATTTCAAGCGTAGTAGAATTAACCACTGTTACAAATTCCTGTGGTACTTCTTTACTGTCATGAAAAAATACCAAGTCACTTGAATTTTTGCCTGCAGCCGCTGAATGGCTTGCATTCAATATACATAAGATTCTCAAAGGATTTCCAAACTCCAAATTAATGTCTCCTCCAGGTACTGTCACTGAAAGAAAAGACACACACATACAATTAGTCCCCTGAAATTAATATTCTTCCAAAACTATATCTTGTACTTGATACCACATATAATTAAATTTGTATAACAGAGTTTTACTTAAAATAGATTACTTCAAATTAAATTATATATTTTCTTAAAATTTTGTAACTTTTCAACATCCTGAAAGTATGAACAGTACTATCTCTTGAAATGTGACACCATATAGCCCAATACAACTTCTACCTGACTACTTGGCATCGCATCCAAGGAGACAGCATTCTTCACAGTCACTGTCAAGAGCACTTCAAATATAAATATGTATAGTGATGTAAGACTGTAAATTTAACACAGTTTCTTTTTATAGAGGTGATGAATTCTTTAGTAACAAATTTGCCTAGAAATAAGGATAATAGCATAAACAATTTTAATATTGCATAATTTTATGTATAGTGATGTAAGACTGTTTTTTGATATGAATTTAACATATGTTTTTTATCTATTTTAATGATTATAAACTTTACATATATATTTATATTTGTATTGTACTATATTAACTATGTAACTGGTTCTATATCTATGTATATGGATTTATGGAATATACAATAAATGAATGAATGAACTTAATTTATAATTTCCAAGCAAATTAGCCCCAGAAAGCTGACAAATCCTAATAGCATAACAATCCTTGATATACAAACTCAATTTAAAACATAACACAGAAATTACTGCTACAGTGTGTGACAATGAACTATAAACAATTTTAATTTAGTTCTAATAATTTGTCTGTTTCTTGATTTGGTGATCTATGCACCGAACTGCCATATCAGGCATCATCACATTTGAAGACTGTTTTTGTACAAGTATTTCTCACTTGTGATGGGTAGTAGGTAAAAACAGTTATTAACCATGGTCATATTTAATCATGACAGGTAATATTTGCATTACTAAATTGGTATTCTGAAGGCATGTATCATGGTCACTTCAAACACATACAGTGACTCTATCCTCTCCATGCAAAAATTGTAACTACATGTCATTTTGTTCCAAAGATATTGACTATCAAAGATTGAGTACATTTTTTTGGACCCCTCTGTATTGAAACATCCATGCACCGAAGGGAACACATATATTTTCCCTTAATTAGAGATTTTAATTGGGTTAGACTTTTTGATAAAATTACTGGACTAGTACAAAGGTGAGGCAGAAATTACTTAATTTCAAACTGTACTGCTCACTGGAACAAAATCCATGTGGGTTACAGTGAAATAATCTTTAGAAAACAACAAAGACTTTTTTTCCTATTTTGACAATTTGTAAGTAATTTATTTTCTGATACTGAACTGCTCTATAATCTATCACAAATGAGGCACCTTCTTTCAATGGATTCGTAATAAATATGATGTTACTTTGTTCTGTATTTTAAAACTAAAAACTTTATTTCAGGCTGGCTAGACGACATAATTAAGTAACTGCACCGGGAACACAGAGTATTAATTTATCTTAATAAAGAAACTGGGACATAAATCTCATTTCTAATTACACTTTCTATTATATGGCACAACACGTTTACTATCACATAATTCTGCTACAGACTTAAGGTCATGACAATGATAGCATATTGGTGAAAAGCAAATTTTAAACATCCGTAATTTTTTATGTTAACTCAGCTACTGGGTGTTCACATAACTTACTCAATATATTCTTACAGTTCTATGCATCATATGTCTTATGATTTTGTACATTTTAAGTAGTGGATGTGCACGGTTATCGCCAACATTTTTGAGGTACATACTCTATGCATCATCAAGGCCAAAGTGTGTGGAGAGGGTGTTTCTGGGTAACTTACACACTGATATCCTTATGACCACCATGCCATGCACTACTGTGTTGTGTTTCACTGAAATATCATGGGAATGGTATGGTTATTACGTATGTCATACTGAAAGACATAAGCAACTCTTTTTTGCATGCAACCTGGGAACAGCAGACAAAAGAGAGTAGGGTGATAGGTGGAACCAGCTGTTGTGTTAACCTTGAGTGTCTTGTGATGTCAACAGCTTGCATCATGTGACCAGTATCACTCCTAACAAAATGGCCGACAACCATATGTCGTTTTGCCAGCGTGCTGTCATTGAATTTCTTGTGAAGGAGGAAATCCCTGCTGGAGAAATTCGCCATAGACTTCAGCGTGCTTATGGAAGTGTGTGCATGGGTGCGAGCAGTGTTCGAAGATGGGTGAAACATTTTAAAGAAGGGAACACCAGCATCGAAGATGAGCCTCGGAGCGGTCGTCCTCGAACAGCCTCAACCGAACGCAACAAGGAAAGATTGGATGAGATTTTTCAAGATGACAGGCGTGACTGTGGACACAACAGCCCGAAAACTTAGAACAGGGCACAGTGCAGTACAGGATATGATTGACAGCTTGGGATATAGGAAAGTTCGTGCTCATTGGGTCCCGCGGTTATTGATCGAAGACAACAAAGGTCAGCGAAAAGCCATCACCTCAGAACTGCTGCAGAGATATCGACACGAAGGCGATGACTTTTTGCTCTGTATTGTGACAGGTGACGAAAGCTGGTTTCACCATTTCGAGACTGAAAAGAAATGACAGAGTATGGAATGACACCATTTGCATTCTCCATCAAGAAAGAAGGCAAAGACAGTGCCATCAGCTACGAAGGTCATTGGCACAGTTGGGGTTTATTCTGGCTGAATTCTGGGAACCTGGGCAAACCATAAATGCTGCTCATTATGTCCAGATGCTGCACAAGCTCCGTCGTGCATTGCGCGATAAACGTCCAGGATGAAACATCATCATCCTGCATGACAACGCTCGCCCCCACGCCGCTTGCCTCACATTGGAAGCAATTGCAAAGATGGGGTGGGAAGTTCTTCCACACCCCTCCTATAGCCCTGATCTGGCATCCTCCGACTACCATCTTTTCGGATTTGTGAAGGATCAACTGCGTGGACGTTTTGAGAAAGGGAGGCAATTCAGAAAGCAGTGCGTCAGTGTCTTCGGATGGCTGGAACGGAATTTTACAGAAGGGGAATTTTCAAAGTTCCAGAATGCTGGAAGAAATGGGTACAAAGAAGTGGCGATTATGTGGAAAAGTCTGTAGACTGAGGTGGTGTATTTGGTTTGTCAATAACAAAGCATGTTACTTTACAAAAAATTGTTAGTCATGACTTTCAGTACGACCCTTGTACATTTGATATCTATAACTCACCCAGTGGCTCACTGAAGGAGAGCATTATTAATGTTTCCATTAACTATCACGTAATACATGTGTACTGCTTCATTATATACTGTCAGACAGAAGCTCAACACTCAATTTCAAAACTATTATCATTTGAAACAATATCATAAATTTATTGCATGTGAGCAGCTGCTGTATGTAGACTTCTAAACATACTCCTAACCAATGTGTCTCACTTTTTGGAAAGAAAAGCCAAGTATTCATGAAGACATGACTTCCAAGACTTCTGACTAAAAGCAGATGTTTTTAAAATAATATCCAGATTGTAAAATAAATATAGTGCATGCTTAACAGACATCTGTCTGCAGATATGTTAACATCTACGCTCTTCAAATTACTTAAAAATTTAAATTACTTAAAATGGAAAAGAAGGAAGTTTAGGTAAGTGAGAGAGGAAAGAGATATCCTGGAATTCCTCTTTATAAATGAACTGAATAATTAAGACTACAATAAACTCTTCCATTATAACAAATGAACAGTATGTTCACATGCAGTCATTCCTGTTAGCTGATACTTATTCCAACTCACCAAACCATATTTTGAATGAATAAAGAAAAAATAACAAGGTTTCATTGTTATTAAGCACACTAAAAGAACCGTGTGTGCCTGTACTTATTTTCAGTTTAATGTTTAATGCGTGCTTCAAAGACATGTTGTAATACAGTACTACATTAAAGTACTAACACAAACTTGATATGAACACAATGTAAACTCAATGGAGGACACTCCCCCTCCACTAAAAAATAAGTGTTACTTTTTTCACAGAAGGACCAATTATGATTGAGAACAAAGGACTTCAGCAGCAAGATGAATTTTATATTTAATTCAGTTGAGAGGAAGCTTCATTTCATTATTATCGATAATATGAGACTTCAATAAACTTCGGGTATATCTAGGACACCACCGATGAGTGTTTAATATGTAAATGTCCCATTTGTTTAATTATCTAAAAAAAGAACATACAATTTACAGAAAAATGTATTAAGATATAAAATGTGCATTACACTTTTCTCTGGAGTGTTTACCTGAAACTCTTTTTATACTAAATATTTAACTATGGGGAGAGATGTACAAAGTGTGTGTGTTTTCATGCAGTCTCTAACATTTTGATTAAATTTAACCCAAATGATAATGCTTCAGCAAATGTTAACAAAACTCCCCAACATCAAATTTCATAAAATTCAGTTCACATGTGCTTTACGTGAACAGATGGATGAAGCCATATTCACAGGAACTCCACGGGGTTGAGGAATGTGCCAAAAAATAGTTATGTTGAATTTCACATATGAAAAGCAATCCAAGAAATAAACAAAACAACACAATTACAATCCAGATGGCTAATATCCAAGGTGAACGTGCACCCTCTCTGTATGAGAAAACACATGCATTATGTACTAACTTGCTTAGTATCCAGCAAAATACTCACCACCAGGAGTATTCAATCCGACACAGGTGTTGTATTCACCACAAGTGCTATGCAGAAAGAAAAGCAAATAGAGAACTACTGCCACCTCTATGCAACACAGACGACCAGACCTGCACTGCGCTTGTCGAGGCAAGCCAAGTAGAATGCTCCAGCATCCCTGCATTTTGCTCTGTGCTTAGTAGGACTGCATAGCTGCAACAAAATAAAATCACATATTACTAATATCATTTTATTTTGGGCATTAAACCATGATTGGTTACATCTGTGCTTCTCTAAACAGAAAATACTTAACTGTGCCATAGTTACCCTCACATAAAAAACCTGAGAATGATAAATATAGCAAAACTGTATTCGCAGTCATTCACAGTTTCATTCTAATGCTATAAGCACTGATACTTTCACATACACTCTACTCCCAATCCTTAAACTCAAAAGTACTCTCTTATTTCGCATTAAAAGCTAAAAATATATTTTTCATATGGTAAATTACACCAAAATGAGTATAGTAGTTCTTGCAGATTGAATGTGGAAAACCAGACCTGCCCCGCATTCTATTTATGCACTACATGTATTACTTCAATCATATGTTTTGTAAATGTGCAGTTGCTACAGAGAAACATCATGCAATATTAAGAAAGCAGTCTTTTGGGATTTGGCACCGTGTATAAGTGGTGTTAACCGACGTTTCGGAGGAACGTATCGCCTCCATCTTCAGGGTAGAAGAAAATATAAGAATTCTGCAAGCGAAGAGACTGTGAGAACCGGTAAAAGCAGTCTGCCGTGAAAGCCTCAAATCTTACATCATGCAATATTCCTGTCTAAATACTGGGCACACAGAATACATATATAAAAATTACAGCTGTCTTGTAAAGTTCAACTTCTGTCCACAAAAGTGTCTGATTCAAACAAAATATTTAAAGGGATATCTGTTACACATAAAAATTAATTTACGGCTACACATAAAGTGGCAGCCTACAACAGTCAGCATCCGCTTCAATTATAAATTCAGTTTAAATTTATAAATACACCTTATTTAATTTCCCAAATATCAGACTGAAAGCATTTTACATAAGCATCTTCTTAGTTTAACAATGCTCTGTTAGCTGCAGAGCTTATACATCATATAATGAAAATGAAACATGGAAGGGTGTAACCATCACAGTTTACAAATACTGTCTCAGATATGATTAGGACTCAGGAACATCACAAAATCTTTTCAGCCATAATAGCTTCTCACTCCAGGATGCAAGGTGCAACCTATGTTTGCAATCTCGTATTTTCATTGCCGGTATTTGGGTCAAGGTTTATATGTCTATTCTGGATTTTCATCCCAGCTTCCTTCATTTCATCAGTAGAAGTAAAAAGTAAAGGCATCCCTATAACAGGCCATGGAGGCCCACAGGGTTGTGAGATGTTGAGGTTCCCACATTTTCTAGACAATCGGCCCATTGACGGTGGCAAGGTTGTCAGTCCGATGCACTGGCCGCACTTTACCCCCAAGAACATTCCAAGAATATTCCTGGTACTCACTTCTATTAGGCCCTGGGGTTTACTCAGCCTCTAACACAAATGAGTACCAGGAATTAATGAAATGATTTTCCTGGGGAGTGAAGCGCGGCCGGCGCGTAAGGCTGACAATTTACTGCCATCTGTGAGCCGATTGTCTAGAGAAAATGTGGGAGCCTCAACGTCTCACAACCTTATGGGCCTTCACGGCCTGTTACAGGGATAGCTTTACTTTTACTCTTTACTCACTTCTATTAGGGGTTGAGTTGATCCCAGGGCCACAGTGCGGCTAGAAGGATTAGGTCAATTGACAAAAAATCCAATGACCACATCGGGACTTGAACTCACGACCTTCCGGTTTGTAGCATAGTGCCTGAACCAACTACGCTCCCGCTTATATGTCTATTCTGGATTTTCATCCCAGCTTCCTTAATTTCATCAGACCAAATGATAAATAAACTACACAAGTGGAATCTCAGTAAGTATTTCTTTCTATCATGGCCTATGTGAATTTAAGTGTAACATTATTTTACCAATTATTTTCCTGTACTCTTTCTTAATTTCTTTACTTTTACATAAGCCTCCAACTTCATTGCACCTTTCCTATGAGGGACCTCCAATGCAAGTTGGCAAATCAGTTGGGAGATATTTGTAATTACAACGTAAGTTCATTCTCAATCTTCAGGCACAGTGAAATTTGTCAAATTGGCCACCCCGCAGGTTTTCCACTAGTCATAACACACATTTTTATGGAGCTTGTGAAATTATATTTATTTACACATGGCCAACCTGTTTTAACTTGGCCTCCTCCATCATGTACCTTGACCACCTCATGTATTTCATGATATGGCTCTGTATATATTTGAATCTCTCTGTGTTGGCCACACCGAAAAATAAGATTTTTTTTTGTATAAGTCTGTACTCTTCTTGTATGCACAGTACCTGCCAGGCATTTTTTCATCCATCTTTACCGTCAATAGTTATTAATCGGAAAATTCCTCTCATCAGAGTAACCACCTTTCAATGACCCTTTATTTCAGAATGATGGGTTCTGTCGTGATTTAAAATAAGTCCAGAGGGCAATTTCAGTTATTTATATCCTGCACGTAGGCCTAAGTGCTACTGACACAGATATACCGAACAACTTTCTTCACAAAGCCTCGAATAAGGATTAAACTTTAGGCTAAAGGAGGGGCAAATTCCTGAAGGCAAATGAAAATGACAGCATATTGGTAAATGTTATTACACTGTGTTGTATGCTGTTCTGAAGACATAACAGTAATTCTAAACATCCAGAAACCTCGATCTGTTATACTTTAGTACAAATTTTGCAACAGAGAGGATGAGTTCCAGAACAATTGGAATTACTTAACTACCTGAGGCCTATAATTAATTCAGAAATATGAACCAATCACCATAACATAATCGATAACGATCAGCCTGCCAACCTCCTATTTTACGTCTTCAGAAGTACCATGAAAGAGAACATCAGTGCCCTTCCCCCCAACAATCTGACCACTAATTTATACTGTTCATTAACTTCGGCATTAACCATTGTCATAATGAGATTAGGAAAAAATGTATTATGGTTTGATCATAGGGCAAATAATAACAGCCACTGATGAAAAATGTTGGCAATTTAACGAAAAATAAAAATTGTTCAATAACCTGGCTTCATACCATAGCATGCCGATGAACCAGCAAGTTTATCCTGCGGATGAATTTATTTCTCCAGGTCTTGTCAGCTCATCTGTTACCCTTGGGATTGACGTAGTGGTGCCATACACGTACGAGTTACGGGCACAGAAACCTAACAACGTACCCATTACACACCTTTCACATTACTGTCATGATCTTAGTGTGCCTATAGACGGGTTTTGGATTGATGACCGGATTTATTGGACTCTTTGATACAGCACGTGGCTACACTTTACAGTTCCCTATTACACACATACTAGGGTCTACAGACACGTCTAAACTGCCGTTCCTTTGTATCGGCTTCCATCGACGGACGTTCTCCTTCCTCTGGGTTCCCAAACTTCCCTGGCCTGAAGGACCAGATTCTAACACCAACAGCTCACAATGACTGAACCCCAGCAGTTCTCTAAGTAACTCCTAACTTGTCCTGTTTATATCATCTGGGTACGGACCACGTAGAAAACATTGTTCCTGTTGCATTGCAATTGTTGTTTAGCGATGACATGACGTATTTCGTGGCTGCCTACGCAGCCATCGGCATGGACTGCGCAGGAAACACCATTCCTCTGTTGCTACTTAGGGGCCACTGCCTAGTAACGGCTGGCTGTTGTGATTACAATTCTTGCTTTGAGTGAATATACCACATTACTTTGTTTAAATTCATGTACATGAATGATTAACTGAAGTGAAACGAAGTGTTTCACGGATGTCCTATGCTCCAAGTCGGAGCAAGAGCAGTGGTCGGTCGGACGGATGGACGGACAGACAGACTGATCGCTAGACAGATACGATTCCATCAAATGAATCAAGTAGGAGTAGTTTCTGACTTTGTGCCGGAAGGTTTACTGTAAGCAGCGAACAGAGTATCAGGCACAATGAGGTAATGACCAGTTCTGCTTTCTTAAGGGTAATGTATCAACTTCGGGATCATTATCGTCCACAACGTTGCTGAAGAACAAGCGGCAGCGCTTATGGAATGCCCAGAATGCCATCTAATCCTCCCCACACTGAGTTTCCTTGTCACCTAAAATGCCTTTCTTCGTATAAGCCTAGTACCATAGCATACCATAACAGCGCAGATAATTTCCATTGAAACTGTCGTAAATTTAATACAGTCCATGCAAGCATGGTCAGTGTTTTCCTTCTCTTTCACTTTCACGGTCGATCACTGATGATGTTGGGTCAGATGCATCAGTATTAATGATCGGGTTTTCTGAACGACATACTGTAGCTCACTTGTAGGATGGAAAAAGAAACTGCGGCAGATTAATCCATTTTCTTCCGTCGTGCTTCAGTCCATCCAGGCAAAAAGCAGGAACCTTCAAACAGGCAATGCCCGTCTTTCTTTGAACAATTCTGAATTACTGTCACTTTGTAACATCCCACATGATTCCACATAACCTTTACATCTGGCGTAACATCGATACATATTACAGTTATACGGGAATTTGCACGTTACCCACAGCAATTGGCACGCGATGCCTACGTGTCCACAACAATATCGTACTTACTCATGGAGCTGAGCCCTTCTGGAGGAGCCGCCAATTCTGCAGGTATTCAAGAATTTCGCAGCATTTTATGGAACCAAAAGGTTCATTACCGTGTTCACAAGAGCCCTCTACTGGTCCCTATCCTGAGCCAGATCAATCCAATCCATGCCATTCCATTCTATCTTTCTAAGGTCCATTTTAATATTGTCCACCAACCTACGCCTTGGTCTTCCCAGTGGTCTCTTTCCTTCTGTCTTTCCCACCAGTATCCTATATGCATTCCTAGTCTCCCCCATTCGTGCTACATGTCCTGCCCACCTAATCCTCCTTGACTTGATCATCCTAATTATACTTGGAGAAAAGTTTTCTCCATCCTCCTGTCACTTCATATCTCTTCGGTCCAAATAATTTCCTCAACATCCTGTTCTCAAGCACCCTCAGTCTATGTTCCTCCCTAATATCATAGACCAAGTATCACACCCATACAGAACCACAGGC